AAAAAAAAAAAAAAAAAAAAAAAAAAAAAAGAAAGAAAGAAAGACGAATGAAAAGAGAAAAAGGAACGCGTCAAATCTGTGCACGGTACCAAATGACACTCTCCCACCTTTTCAAATCATCCATGCACGAAATTTGCAAGGGTATATTAAAAGCATATGAAAAAGGAGAAGTTATGTTCTCACCTACCCGTGTGTTACTCACACACCCATTCATGTGCATATCTCTACGTCCTCGCGCGATTCTCATTTCGCGTCCCCTTTCTCTTCCATTTGAAAGTCGCTCCCTACCAAGTACAGGCGTTTATAACGACCATCTTTAGACAAGGTGCCTCCTTCTCCCTCTCCCCCCCCTCAACGCAGCAGCAGAGGTAAGTGCTAGAGCCCCACCTTTGAATTCTCCACGGGGTGGGGGGTTCTGGCCAAATGAGGAAATGCCGTCTCTAACCCGCAAAGGCCTATTTTTCCTCAACGGAAAAAATTTATTTTTAAAATATTTGGGGCAGGAAACAAGAGGGGAGAGTTGGCACTCATCTTCCATGCGGGTTTATTTTAGCCCTGTTCATGCTTTTTACAATTAGACGCGTGTTTTTTTTTTTTCTTCTTTTTCTTTTGTCAACTTAGCAAAGTATCCAATTCACACGTGAACACATAAGACAGAGTGTAATCAATTCAAATGAGTTCGTGTAGGTCCGATTAGGAGGACGCGGTGGTGGTCTGCCCAGTGGTGATTTGCGCAGTGACCGTCGTGCCGTCTCACCTCACTGTTGCTTTGTTCCGTCGCTTCAATGAAGAGGAGGATCCTCCTCGCCGACCACAAAGTAATAACACACCTCTTCAAATGCAAAGAGGAATGCTTTTCTTATCTTCCACAAGGGAGGCAACATGGCATTTTCCACTTGGTTCGTCTCAAAGCCTAAAACGTATGCACCTTTTTAAGTTAAATGGTGAAGGTGTAATTTTTTTTTTTTTTTTTTTTTTTTAATGGAGAAAAAGTAAACATACGTGGCGTGCACTTTTTGCGAA